GACCCACCCCCCCNCCCCCCCCCCCACCAAAAAACTGCATCCTTGACGCTATAATACTTGGGCATAAATATTATCGCATAAGCAATGCCTAGCATCACATCCATCCTCTCGCAGTCCTCCCTACGAATCAGATTCCAATTACTTTACTTGACCAGAATGGAAAACAATATGTCACCTAAATCCCCCCCCTACTACCTCTAAAATGCAATAAAGGAGACGAAACTCTTGTATTGTAGAACCAATCTACTCTAATCTGCTCAATTCTCACATGCTGGTGTATTCATGGTACTTGGTAATTGATCCTGCATACATTATCTGTACCTATCTTACCATGTGCATGATGCTCCCTCAATGCATCTATCTATCTTAGCAAAGCATGCTCAATCAAAGAAGAAAAGGGGCTTTCCTCGCCCATGAAAATGCAAATGCAATTGTAAATTTACATCCAGCCGCTCAGGATACCCAGAACTCCGCCAATGCATCCAAAGTCCGTTTCAAGAAGACAGTAATCCAACACCACAACGCCGCGCTGTGAAAAAACTTACCACCGTTGTTTTCTTTAAAAGAGACAGCAAATCGTGCTTCGACCTCTCATCCACACTCAAACGTTTTGCTCACCCGTCACCTCTCCACATACTTGCTTTCTCGCCTCCGGCATCTTCGTAGGCGACATCCCCGGCTCCTCTTTAATATGCATATCCTCATCTTCATCACCTCCTTTATTCAGTAGAGTCCCAACCGCATGGTCATACCCCCCAAGCTGCTCCCGCATAGCTGGGTCCTCATACAGCCCGAATCCCGCCGGCGGGGAGCTCGGCATTGGCACGTCCGTGGAGTAGAAATCTTCAAGGTTGAAGTCCAGGTCGACGTTGTGTTGCTGGCCGAGATCAGGTAGAGAGTCGAAATCGAGTTCCAGGTCGGTGTGCGGGCGGGAGGGAGACTCCTGGTTGTTGGCTTCGGCCATGAGTTGATTGAGGGTCTGGGTGAAAGGAGACTCGAAGAGGGGGTCTTCGTTCCGAGGTGAGCGACGGCGGGTTCCTGTTCTTGGTGTTCGCGTGGGAGTTCGGTCAAATATTCGGAGTTGGCTTGGTGAATTGGCGGATCGCCTAGATCTGGCTGAACGAATCGAACGAGACACGCTGCGAGTGATGGGTCTGTGGCTAGGAGTCGGACGGGTTGGTGTCTTGAACGGGTTCTGAGTGGGTGTCTTTTGGACTGGTGTAGAAGGACGCTCGATTTCATTACCCTTCGCCATCTCCTCCTCGAAGAGCTGGAGAAGATCGGCATCGACATTGTCATCGTCAATCACTGGCGGGCAGTTCTCCTTGTCTTGAATTTGCACCTCGGTCATGCTTTCCTGTGGTGAGTGGAACTCGGTGGCAGCAGTAGTAACCTGAACGTCTACTTCCACCTCTCCTAACGACTTAGGCGAGCCGTCCTTTCTTGGAGATGGGAATAGTAATCTTCGAGTGGGAGCAAACCTAGCAGGCTCATCTTCAACATCGATGGGACTTCGCTGAGTACCAATCCACCTCGCAGGACTAGACTGAATAGCGCGCCTCAGAGCGGCGGAAGCAGCATCAGATGTCATGGCATGCAGTTTCCTCTTAGGTTGAGCACTGGTCGATCGTGAACGATATTCTCGCTCTGTGTTGACAGGAGCTGGCTGCTGTATACCTCTCGCGTCGCCAGAAGAAACACCATCAAGCTTTCCAGTACCAGGAGCTTCAGACATCGGGAAATTGGCATCCGAAGCGGGTATATCCGACATGGGGAAATTAGCCTCAGACGTTGGGATTGCGACTTGCCCTTTCTTAGCCCTCGATCGCTGAGTCGTGGGTTTTCTCTTGTTTCCTGGAGGCTTGTTTTCTCCTCGAGGTCTCATCAATCCGTTACTCTCCCACATATTCGAGGGGCGCTGGGCCTTGTATTTAGACATCCAGATGCCACAAGCTGCCCCAGTTAGTTCCGAGCCGCCAGAAACAGCATTAGCGCGACTTACGATTGCACAAAATAAATTCACGAAATTCTGTTTGCATCTCTCCATCGCCAAGAGACTTCTTCACGAGTCTATACTTTGTCGGCTTTTCTTCCTCATCGCGCTCCAAGATGATGATCGCAGTGACACGGCCTGGTTTGTCCGAGTACTCGTGATAGCCAGGCTCGCCATCCAAGTCCTGAGACCAAGCCTTTCTCCAGGTGGGAGTCTCGACAGCTCCACAATTCGCACAATACGGAGGCATTTCGCCGTTGGCAATCGCGAGCTCGAGCTTTTTCTTGATATAATCCTTCTTGATTTCCTTCGGCTTGTAGACCATGTTATCATGTCTTGGTGGCGGTGGGCCTTGATAAGTCATGACGGGAGCCTTCTGCTGCTGCATATGATTCGCAGACGGCGTAGGAGCCTCGGAGGCTGGTTGGGGAGCTGCTGGCCGTATTTGAGATTGGTGAAGAACAGGTGGAGGCAGAACAGGGTCGCTGGAAGGGGCTTGCGGAAGTGACAGCGATCCCATGGAAGCTGTCCGAACCATCATTCCCGATCTAGATGTTGGTCTTGACAGAGGTGCTGACGCGGAAGCAGGAGCAGAAGCAGGAGCAGGTGCTAATAGAGGTTGGCTCGGTGCTGGCCCGGGAGCTAACTTTTGCGCAAGTTTTGAATTTGTTTGTAAAATGGCAGGGTGTGGAGTGTTTTGAGGCGCAGGTGCAGAGATATGAGGGTTCCGAGCTTGTTCATAACTTGCATATTGAGAATTTGGAGCTGGGAGACCATTCATGGGCATACCGTTCATGAAATTACCAGTAGGGCACGGAAGATCGGGTGGGGGCTGCGACATTGACTGCGGATGTGGCCGAATTTCAGGCAGTGTTGAGCGCGTATCCCGTAGCCCAGGGCCCAGAGAAGACTTCTGAGCCTGGTATTGTGGCTGTCTGCTATCGGGCTGGCTCATCGCTCGACGCATAGGAGCACGATTACCCTTCTTCAAGGGGGGAAGGACCTGGCCATCTTCGGATACCACACTGCCATTAGCGTAACCCATTACAGCTTTAGCTATGCCTTCGACCTGACTTTGAGAACCAATTTCTGGCATACGAGTAGGCAGTAGCTCTGGGGGGCCAGGCACCTCCTCTTGAATGATGAAGTTGAAGTTGCTTCCCTCGGGTGGGTTTTGTGCTCTGTGATGAGCAGCTCCTTGCTCGAACTCCTCTCGTGTCACGATTTCCAATTCACCATCGTCAGCAGGACACTCTGCCTCTTCTTCTCCGAATAGGTCATCCATTGAGCCGCTCATGAATCCAGAGTCTGTTCTTGGCATCTGTGGAAGGACAGGACTTGAAGGACATGGTGGACTGGAGTGCATGGAAGATGGTAGTCTAGTTCTCATGGCAGGGGGTGAAGATCCCATGTCAATTGGCGTCTCAACAGGACTGAACCGGTCCGGAGAAGGATGGGCTGACTCAATAGATCGTCTGACTTGATCTTCTCGGGTCTGGAATGAGGGGTGAAGAGATTGGCTCTGAGGAGGAGGGTTTTGAGACGCACTAGACGCAGGGCGGAGAGAGCTTTGGGGCTGACTTGGGATGTGTTGATTGTGAATTCTGGGCACGGGGGTAGGCGCGCGTGGGATTTCCACGAGATGGGAGCCAGGAGGACCACCAGCTTGCATCTGGCCACTCATGGCAATTGGTCTGAAGAGACGCAATGACCCGGAGGTACCAGCTGCAACTCTGAGAGAGTCTGAGTTGATACCCAAGCTCGCATTGCCGTCCCAACTGGTCTTCGTAACCTTGGCTCGCTTCTTCGGGGCTGATCCATCATCTCCATCTGTTCCCTCTTCGTATCCAGAGGTGTTTCCGCCAACAGCAGTATTAACCTTGGGTTTCTTAGCCCTAGGTCTCTTGACGGATACCCTCGAAGATGGCCTCGACGTCTTATTTCCCATGTCGCTCACTGCCACAGGTTCCTGGCTCTCATTTCTTGATTTCTCGCCGTTGACAGGTGTAAAGCCAGCCGGGTTTAGTGGCGTGGAGCTAGGCTGGTGGACCGGAAGGGAATGGTTTTGGCTCATTTGAGGCTGATGGTTGACCTGCGGTTGATGGTTCAGCTGCGGCTGTTGGTTGTACTGAGGCTGTTGGTTGAAACAAGCTTGCTGACTGAACTGAGCTGCCTGATCAAATTGTTGCTGGTTGAAGAGATCCTGCATAATCGGCTGTTGCGAGTGCGGGCTTAACAACTGGTTCATAACCTCCATACTCGCCCCATCTCTCATGTTGGGGTTTATCATAGGAGCGGGAGAGATCTTCTTCGCCATCTGGCCAAGGTTTGGATTTGACTGCATGAACGAATTCCACTCATTAAGGTCGGATCCAGGTGGCACCGCCTTATTCATCTCCCTATATCTCCCCATCGTATTCTGGTACTCTCCCTGCAACATGGTAGGCACAGGTACCAGCCTCAGCTTTACCTCAAGCGTCTCCTTGACCCCATTGCTGAATAGGCCCATGATATTCTTGCATACGCGTCCTGTGATAAGCTGTCTCGATTGACCGGCGGGAGCTCCAGGTGTTGGAGAGGCTGTAGACAATGCTCTGGATAGCATGCCTTGACCAACAAGAGGATTATCGTACTCGGAATAATCGTATGCGTACACGGTATAGTCCTGGCCAAGCCGAGCGACCAATTCAGGACTACATTGTACAATAGCGTCTATACAGATCTTCAACTCAATAACTCCAATGCTGGTCGCCTCGTCCATGGCTACTGTCTGTACCTGTAGGACGTGGGGCCATCGTGCCAGGCAATTGGTCTGGTTCTTGTCGTCGAAGGTATAGAGAACTTTCACTGTATGTCCAGACGGAATCAGTACTGCGCTTCAATATTGTTTTAAAGCTACTATGCTTACGTCTCATATCCCGGACAGACACCCCGTCTTCATTTTCGCTGCCATTAGAAGACATTGCCGAAGTTGGTGACTGTTTATTCTGCCAGGCAAGAGGTATCCCTGTCGGTGTAGCAGATACACCCCGTCCCTCCTTTGGTTCTCTGATTCTTGTACTCTTATGGTGCGGAATATTCGGATCGGATTTCGAGAGCGTTGTAGAGGTATAGGGTAGATCGATCAGGTGTGGAGTCGTCGAAAAGGTGAGGTTGTAGTGGCTAGGGCCATACCGTAATTCACGTTGCTCGCGACTTACAGCACGCAGAGTATTCGTAAAACAGATCTTTCAAATGTAATCCTCCTTAACCTTAGACGGAAAATAATAGGAATTGTCAGAAGGCATATGAAGAGTTTCGAAGAAGGAGTGATGTCGCAGTCGTAGGATGGCTGGAACGGAGTTGAAGATGTCGGAGCTTGTTGATGTAGCTTCCGACAACCAATAGACGCGTGGGATTGAGCGCAACGCGCCTCGAAAAATTGTGATGCCTCAGGCTTATATGGAGCTCAAGTCTTCAAGGATCTTTCAGATTTCACCAGCTGGGTACGGCTTTGATTTATACCTCCATTCTGGCAGAGGATTCCTCGCATTTTCGCGCTAAGGCTTAGGCTTCCAGGGCACCAGTTCCATCACATGATATTAAATCATTTTCTATTCCTCTATGCAGATGGTTTTGGATTACCATCTCGATGCAATCGCTAATATACAAACAGATACCGGAACATCCGCGATTCCGTCAATCACCACCTTCACCATCATATCATACAACCCCACCCTTCGCCACCAACGTAAACATCTCACTGAGGCTCCACCTTTGGTGTGTCCTCTACCTGAGGGGCGTCCTCTACCTGAGGTGCTTCTTCTACCTGTGGTGCTTCTTCGGGTTTCTTCGTCTCTTCAGCTCCAGGGGCCGTGATCCAGGCCAAGCCGCCAAGAGCCTGTGTTCTAGTCCTTCTCGCCAGAATTTCCTCAACGACCTCGCGCACACCCTGCTTACCCTTTCTCTGCTTTAGGAAATGCCCCAGAACCTGCTCTCTGTCATTTGCACCCGCCATCACGGCAGCTTCAACCTTGCCTTCTGTAGGGAGTCCAAATTCGTACGGATACCGTCTGTAGTCGTTACCACTCAGCAGCCGCAACGCCGAATCTGGCTCCATGGCGAAAAACGGGGTCGCAATGTCGCCTTCGACATCCTCCAGCGAGGCCGGCTGCCACTTTGGCACGCCATCTTTTCGGATAAGTAACGAGTGCACGCCCTCCGTGAAATCAGGATGACGCATGAATTTCGCAGCCATCGCGTGTTCCCGCTGGAAGGTGGTCAAGATACCCCAGTCCTTGCCCAGCTGCATCTGCCGAAGCGTAACGTGCACACTGGTTGGTGACCTCCGATGCAGTGTCTTCAGCGTTTGTTCCGCCCACTCCTTGGTCTCACCCTCCTCGGCCTTCAAAGCCGTGATGATATCGGGCACATTCGTCTTCGTAAAAACTCGATCGATAGCCTCCCTCAAACTACCCTTGATAAGCATGGGCTCGTCATGAGGCAAGCCGGTGCAAAATTCTTCAATTGTCGCATCGATCAGCTCAAGCCTCTGCTGCTTAGTGTCGTAGTCCTTGAATCTGAGCTCAGCCAATCGTCGCTCCAAAGCAGGTAAAGAGGTAGAGTGTATGTAGTGTGTGGCAATCCCGGCATAGAAAGCATTGACGCCCTTCAACCGCTCACTGGTAAGTGCCAGGTACGTTCCAACACCCCCCACCATCCGAGATAGAAAGAAACTGGCTCCAACATCTGGGAAGAATCCAATAGTCGTCTCCGGCATAGCAAACACTGTCCGCTCCGTCGCTATCCGGAAAGGGGCGTGGATACTCAGCCCGACACCACCACCCATCGTAATCCCATCCATAAACGCAACATACGGCTTGCTATATGTAGCAATAAGGTGGTCCAGCTTATATTCCAGTGCGAAGTAATCCGTGGATCTCTGCATTCCTTCCTCTCCCGTTGCGTTATCCTGTGCAAGATGCTTTACGTCTCCGCCAGCGCAAAATGCTCGTCCAGCGCCCTTGATGATCACCACATTCGCCATGTCCGACTTCGCCCACTCCTGTAGCCTCGGTATGATTTTCCTGACCATCGATCCATCGAGTGAATTGAGCGTGGCCTGTTTGTTAAGCTCAATAGTCCGCACGCCGTACAGGGTATCGAAGAGAACATCTTCCGGTTCGTCGCCTGGCAGTTCCTTGATAACCTCTGGTTTCTTCTCCAATCTCACTCTTCGAAACCTTCGCCCATCCTGGGTGTTTTCTGTAGACATCTATTCCCAATCAGTCCCTGGACTTTCCCGGATCCGACGGTGTTCGAGAAGTAGGTAGATATGAAAAATCCATACCTGCGCCCGCCCTGCGAAAGCAGGATTCGTGATCTTTGCCCTCAACGGCATCGTAACAATGGTCCTGGTAGGGAAGTTCCCGCAACACGGTCTCGCCGCCCTAAACAACGCCTTCTTCAACATTAGAAACAAGCTCGGAGAAAGAAACCGGGCAGCAACACAAGAGGACGTCCAGAGTTCAGGAATTTTCCACAATTTGCTCAAACACTTCGGATTGATTTTCCAAGCTCGGGACTCTACTCCCCACAAATTTAAGCTCGGGCGCTAAGCCCTGAGTGGGTGTTAGCGCTATCGCGAACTTTTGAGAGCTCGACGTCAAATACAGAGCAAGGCTGCGAATTTGGGTAGGAAGCACGACAAAACACAACAATACCAACACTATGGCCGACGCAAAGATCCAGTATAATCCTCCACTCCCCTGGCACCACCAGACATCAAAAGCTAATATATACACAGAGAACTCCTCGCCAAGCCGCGTCAAGAACTCACGTACGCCCTTCCCCCATCTCCTCGAGTTTCCATCCACCCAAGACCATATCCGTCCCAATCGCTTGCTCTGGCATGATGCTAACCACTCTGCTCCAGCGAGTTCGAGATCGCCGCCCTCGAAGAACACGAATTTACCTCGGGTCCGCTCTCCATCCTGCAGACCGCCGTGCGCTCGCATACCCAGGTGCTGATCTCTTGCCGCAACAATCGCAAGCTGCTGGCGCGCGTGAAGGCTTTCGATCGGCACTGTAACATGGTGCTCGAAAACGTCAAGGAGATGTGGACGGAGGCGCCCAAGACGAGCGGGGGGAAGAAGGGGCGCCCGGTGAACAAGGATCGGTTTATCAGTAAGATGTGAGTCGAGACTTTTCTTTCTTGAGCTGGAATCTTGCAGGGAGATGCTGTGGGAGGAGGGAGGAGGGAGGGCAGATAAGGGAAGGGGAGGTGAGGAAATGGGGGGGGAGCATCTGAAGGCAGAAGGAGTTCTTCAGGATCGGGGACGGGAGTGATTTGATGAGAGGATCATGGGCTAATATCTCACTATCAAGGTTTCTGCGAGGTGACTCCGTCATCTTAGTCCTCCTCAGCTGAACGCCCTTTATTGTTATTTTTTTCTCAATGGATAGACCAAGACTGTCAATGCACCAAGGAATCGAGGCTCGGTCAGCAAAAAATCGAAGTCGTCGGGATTTTTTTGGAATTCAGAACAGGCGTCGAAAATTGGCGGGATACCTTCAATGGGAGCTTCTTTTGCATGAATGGGCTAGCTATTTAGCTATATCGATCGCACGGATCGATGGGGTTCTCAAGGCTACCTAGGTAGGAAAAGGGCGTAGCCACCAAAACGATATGCGATAAATGAGAAAGAATACATCTGAATGCAACACCAGGTGACACACGAGTCGAGTTTCTTTTGCGCCATGCGTTCCTCGATGGTGTGCTGTTCTCGTGATATAAACATTGACCAGGTATCCAGTGAACTGTCTTAAAGTCATTAGGTAGTGCGTATATTATTTTGGTTACTAGTCGAGCTCATTTTCAAAGGGTGCCCAGAACATTCAGAAGAGACGTTCACCGTTCAATAGACAATTCCCAGCCCTCAAATCCCGTCTTTCACTCCTTGGAATACTTTGTTGCACATCGCACCAAATGTCCCAGAAACTCTAGGGCATTCAAGACTCGGCCAAGTCGAAAATTCATTGCTCGCGGCAAAGGGATATAAAACGTGTACAGTTTCACCACGAACCCTTATCCCATCCCCACCCATAGTAATTGTTTCGTCGCTCATATCATAAGAAGGGGCGGCTGCCTACACAAATTCATACCCCTCGTCGCCCCCCTTCACGCCCGCAACTCCCAGAAAAAACTCACTCAACCCCCATGCGCCCGGGTCAGGAACCTGCTCGTAGCCGCTACCGCCGATGTAAACCGTCCTGCCCAGACTAGCCTTCATCCCTTTCGTGCTCTCGGCTCCCTTCCTCGCTGCCTCCGCCGCCTTTCTCACGTCGCCGCTCTCAGCCAGCGTCTTGATGAACGGATGCAGCGCGTCGACTAGAGTTCTATCCCCGGGCTGGGCAGGCGTATAATTTGAGAGGGAGGTGGCGGCGGATTGGAGGGCGGTGCCGAGGAGTTTAGGGATGAGGGCGCCGGAAGGAAGAGCGCGGAGAGATGCGACGAGGGAGTTGAGGAAGATGGCGTAGAGGGCGCCGGAGGTGCCGTCCATTGAGTTCTCGACTGTTTGTACGATCTTGGACAGGTCGATGACGGGGTCGTCTGTGGGCGGATCTTTGGAGAACAGGGCGAGAACCGCTGAGTGGGTTATTAGTATGTGTTTGTGTTTAAATAGTAAGGGCTGTTTCGTGGACTTGCCTTCGGCTCCACGCTTGAGTCCAATGCCACAGTCGCCGTCGCCGACTACTGTGTCGTATCGGGTGACATCTGGCTCAGCAGCAATCAGACGTTCCAGACCAGCTGTTAGTACTTTCTTCGTAGTCTCAGGGTCCATCTTCAGTTCACTTGGCGTGATTTGCTCTTCTTCGGCGTCAACGCCTTCTCTTGTCTCGCTTGATCTTGCTTCCCAGGTCTCTTTTCGAATTGGTGCTGTCCATCCGGCGGCTTCAGATGGGTCATCGAGCAACTGGATCATGCTCGGTCCTCCAATATTCGTGTTCACAACATTCAATATCGAAATACTGAAACCCAGCCCATTCAGACTCGTCATGTAGGTCCCAGCCAGGATCCTCACAGGCTTGATGCTGTAGCTCTTCTCCAGCTGCCCAACAACCTCTGCCGTGATACCCCCAAGCTCAAGAACACTGACACCGCCCAAGTTGTTGATCAAAAGCACAACCTCGTTCGAATTAACATTTAAAAACGCGCGATCTTCATCCGCCGAATCCAGCAGCTGCGAGAGCATCGTCTTCACCAACTCCGGCAACTCAACTTTCGCCCTCTCACTGCCTGCTTCGTTGTGAATGCCCATCCCAATCTCCACCTCTCCCGCTTTCAGATTCTCCTCCGAAGTAGGATCAACCGGCGTCCGCCCCGGCACATGCACATGCTCCAGACTCGCGCCAACACTAACCAGGTTCTCGGAAGTCAGCTTCGCAACCTTATACACGTCCTCCAAGCTAGCTCCTCGTGCAGCCAGGGCCCCAGAAATCTTATGCACCAGCACCGTTCCCGCAATGCCCCTCCGTCCAACCTTGCCGGCGGCAGCACGCCCGACCCCAACATCGTCGCCGACGACCAACATCTCGACTTGCAGGCCCGTGGCCTTGGCCTTCTCAACCCCCATCCCGAAATTGAGGACGTCGCCGGTGTAGTTCATGACCGTGACCAGAATCCCCCTTTCCCCGTCAACTCTCGACATGATGGCTTTCCGAATCTGCTCCGCGCTGGGCGAGGCGAAGATCGTGCCTGCTACACCTGCTGAGAGTAGTCCGGCGCCCACGAACGCTCCAAAAGAGGGTTCGTGGCCAGAGCCACCGCCTGAGATGATGGAGACTTGAGGGACGTGGCCTGGACGGCGGTAGACGATTTTATTAACGGCATCGAGGGCTATGGAGGGGTTTGTGAGTGTCAGGGCGTGGAGGGCGGTGTTTACGAGGCGAGTCGGGTCGTTGATGAAGTGTTTGGCCGACATCCTTGCGATGACTGAATGTAAATAGAGGAGAAAGAGGATTTCTAGCTATCGAAGATCCAAGCTCGATGATCCGGAGGTGGGAAAGGGAAGGAACTTAAGCTGGTTAGGAATCACTTTTGTAAATAGAGGCAAGCGAGCTTTGGGGTTCGGCTTCTGAAGCTATCTCTCTCTCTCTCTCTGTTCACCTCTTGCAGACAATGCCAACTAATTTATAGCTGGGAAGATAGCGCGAAATCCTCATCGTCGTCCCCTTGTCCACAACATATGCGCGAATGGCGGGGTAGATAGCACCTGTACTTCGCCCGATTAAAGTAATTGGCTTTCCTCTACCCGGGGTAAAATAAAGAGCTCGCCAATCCCGCCAAGACTTCGGATAAGTTTCCGAACAAAGCATTTTCCAACCTCACCTCTTGCTCTCCCACCACTTACCCCACCACTTATCCCGCCACCTCTCCCACCACTTTTCCCACCACTCTCACCTCTCACGGCCCCACAACATCCACCGCGATGGCTCAATCGACAAGTATCGCCATTCCCGGCCAAGTGCTGGGTTTAACAAGCGAATACCTCCCCGGCCCCGGCGTCCACGTCCACAACTCCACACTGTACGCCTCCATCCTCGGGCCCGTGTCCAAGACCGTGCCTCCAAAGCCTGCCGGGCCGCAGAAGAGATTGACAAAGATCACGCCGGCCGCGCCCGTCGCGCTCCCCACCCTCTCCATTGAACGGAATTTCACTACTGCTGGGGAGAGCGGGACGGGAAAGAAGGAGATCTTGCCGGAGGTCAACAGCACGGTGCTGTGCAGGGTGACCCGGATTGCGCCGCGGCAGGCGACCGTGGCCATACTGGTGGTGGGCGAGACGGTGCTGGATGGGGAGTGGCAGGGCATCATCCGCGTGCAGGATGTACGCGCGACGGAGAAGGATAAAGTGAAGATCTTTGAGAGCTTTAGGCCGGGGGATATTGTGAGGGCGAACGTGGTGCGTATTTTTGGGGGAGATGGGGGAGGACCGAGATAGGAGAGTGGATAATGAAGAATGAAAAATGACTAATTGGGAACAGGTTTCGCTAGGTGACCAGTCGAACTACTACCTCTCGACGGCGACGAATAGCTTGGGTGTTATTATGGCCACGAGCGAGGCAGGGAATCCGATGTATCCGGTTAGCTGGAAAGAGTATCGGGATCCGGATACCGGGGCGAGCGAGAGCAGGAAGGTTGCGAAACCATTCTGAAGGATGAATCTGGTAGAGAGAGGAATGAGGATTGTGATCAGCATAGCATCTGGAGTCACGGCGTCTACGGAGGAATACCAATGCTGCCTCGAGCTCTTCGAGCACCCCGAAAATCACAGCCTTTTCGGAGGACCTACGAAGAGAGTGGAATTGGCAGAGACTGGTGGAGACCAAGGTTTGCTATCTGCTACCAGGACCCATTGATGCCTTTGACAGGTCGCTTCCCAGCTCCCCCCCTTGATGCAACCTCGGACGCCTGAGTGTTGTAGATTCACGATTGGTCCTGGAAAGCCTCTCACTGCTGTGGGCTGCAGAGGAAGTAGAGCCACTTGTCATTCCAATCAGCCCCCCTGCTATCCTGTCGTCTGTTGAATAATCACTTCGACTACGGAAATCCTGAGTGCCGAGCGTAAGCTGCTTACAAAAATGTTAGGCTGTTGTGGGTGGCACTCCTCTCTATCAAGAGCGACTTCTTTTTTGCTCATTGTTTCTTGCATTTCTCTCTCTTGCACTTTATGCTCAACCCCATTGGAGCTGCGATTCCAATTCCATATTCTCTTCTCAGGCAGCTTCAAATTAAGAGCAACGAGTAACTTGGTGCCAAATGATTTCTAAACATCAAGATTTCCCGAAAGTCTCGAATTTTCCGATGGCTTTTTGGACATATGGATCCACTGGGAGCTGGGATACGAATACGAAGCGACTGCCGGGCACCGTCTTACAGTTCAACTCGTCCGGATGGTATCCCAGAAACGACTACTGCGCGAGGAAGCTTGGCACAAACGGGCAACACTCCTCGAGCATCAATCCAGCCTCCATGCCTGCTGTTATCAGAAAGAAGGAATTCTTCAACGCCTGCTTTACATGGAGGAGCACGAACCGGCCAAGGCCCGGGAACTCGAAGACTTAACAATATTAAGAATCGGAGCTGCACGCTTTAGCTCGTCGCATATATATTATATTCAATCTCCGTGTATCTATGCGATTAAATACGTGTTTCGATACAATTCTTGAGCAACGAAAACTGATATTAGTAAAGTGGATATTGAAGCTGCTTTAGCGAAGGTAGAATAAGTGTATTCTTTTGGTAACGATAATCCTTAGTCTCAAAGCGGGCGCGACTCGGATATAAAAAAAATAAAAAAAAATTTTGATTCAAGATGGAAAGCATCTTATTTTTTATAGGTTTTAGATTCTTAACTTTATTAATATGTATGTAAATATGTACTGCGAAGTAAAAAAAAATGGGGATTGCGTACTTTCCATGCCAAGACTCGCTTATCACTCTCCCCCCGCTTGTTGGTATTGGATCGCTCGCGTTTAGAGCTATTACTCCCTCGTATTACGTCTGATAGAGCATCGAATCCCTACGTGCCGAAGAAGTATCCATCTGCCTACCTGCTCTAACCCATTTCCTTGAATAGGATCTCCAAGCAGAGTATCAGTATCAACATCAACATCAACATCAAAAATCAAAATTACTTAGATAAGAGCTTGAGAAAGAGAAGAAAAAGAATCTTGTTTGAATGGCGTGGACTTTTTTGAATTTTTTTTCTTGCCTGTTTGTCGGAATTAGGAAACCTCTAAAGCTTATTGAGGCTGAAAAAAAGAATTCCCGAAAAGAAAAAGACAGGCTTTAATTTCTCTCGTAGAGACATCAGTGCAAGCGAACCCCTCTCCCCCAGCAGGATAATCCTCTCTCTGTATGTATGTAGCGCCCGCCAGCCCTCAGACTAGACGGCCCAGAGAGAAATCTTCCTTTCTTCCTTCCCAAGACTCAAATCAGCGCAGAAGCAGGCTTGATTTCTCCATACCCATCCCTTCTTCCGGCCTCAAAGCTCCCGAAGATCAGAGACCTGGCAACCAATAAACAAGCCATCCTCCCTCCCTCTCTCTCTACCTCTTCACGCCACTACCCCGTCTTGATCTCGCTCCGCCACCACCACCACCGCCACCACCACGACCGGAAGGAGCACCAACACGGCTTGAGCTACTGACTCCGGACACGACTCTCGCGAGTATCGCACCGGGATTGGGATCTTCGCTGCCGCTGCTTGCACTCTCACTCTGACCCTCGCCGTCTTGCCTACCAGCATCCATGTGCGAACCGATATTCTCTAGCGTCTTGTCCCCGATCCAGCCATCGCTATCGGCAGTCTGGGCCACGTCGTGGGTGCGCGAACTCGAATGGTGCTGGTGGTGGCCGCGCGCGGGAGTCTCCGAGAGGAGCTGGTGTTCGGCTTCGATGTCCTACAGAACACACTCATCAGCTTATTTCCATGAAAGTTACAAGTCAAGAATACCTGGAGAAAGACAATCAGGAGAAGATGAGCCAAAAAAAATAGGGGGGGAGGGTGGGGGGGAGCAATGAAGTTATACGGGAAAAAGAAGGACGACCGACGTACTCTAACCATACCTAACACGCCCTCTAACCGCTCCGTCTCCCGCGTCCACCATCTCACCTGCTCCTTCACCCTCGCGATCCGCTCCATCTTATTGATGCTCGCCTCCTCCAGGATCTGCCTGACCCAGTTCCACATCAGAGTGACATTCAGCACCACGAACAAGAGCCTGCTACCCAGCGTCGCGCTCGGGCACCGCATGAAATCCTGGTAGGTGACCCATGAGATGATGGCCTTGTTGATGCGCGTCAGGGTGTAGGCGATGAAGACGGCGACGAGGTTGTGGATGACTGTTTGTATGCATCGTTTTTTATTAGCCTGTATTCTTCTGTATTTTGTATGTGGATTTGCCCTTGCTGGTCTGGTGTAAAGGGAGGGAGGGGGAATTTGGGAGACGTTTGAAAGTGTACTCTGCATGTGCGGAAGGTTAGAAGGTAGAGAATTGAAGAACGGTAAGACTCAAACGGTGCGTTGGTGAAGAAGAGCCAAACAATATCCC